TTCCAAGCTCAAAGGACTAGGCCATAGTTGGCTTTAACACCACATTCGCACAACATAGGAGGTGCTTTGATGATTATCCTATCTTTCTTATTTTCCTTTTCCTTTGGCTCCGGCCAATGAGACTTAGGACCATAGAGCCACTCTCAGAAATGACACTTCGCAAATCCATGGCGCTAAAAGAGGATAGATTAGTACATGCACACATAGAGCTAAACACTTCAACAGATGCACTTTCCACTTACTTCGTGCTTGTTGCCACACACAAACTCCAACGAATTCGAAGGGGATATCACCGCTCGATCTTCGCAATGGCATAGAGGAGGTTCCTCGAGTCATCTTGCTATGGCTACGTGCTTCTCCTCAGCTATCATTGGCGGGGGTTAGGAGGAGGTGGAACCCACTACTCGAAGTGTTCATGTGGATGTCTCTCTCTCCACCAATCATCGAAAAGGAGGTACCTTGGGTCAAACTTGAATGGACCGTCGATCCACTGAAAAAAAAAGCACCTCTCATGTGCCTACATAACAAGATTCCACCAAAATATTAGTAACCTACTAACACAAATGAAGAAACAATGATATGGAGACAATTACTTATATTAAAATGACTGCATGTGTAGTAGCAACGCGCAGTGTGTCTCGATGTCTCGATTGAAACATGTGGGCGGGGAAACCACAGTCACGCGCAGCTGTGAGGTCAGGATTGACGGGGACATCTTTGCTAGACACGCCGGGGTATAATTTCTAGGATGACCCCATTTTTGCCACATCTGCTCCCGCCACATGTCTTGCATCTAACAAAACCAATATTAAATAAATAAAAGTAAACCATAAACATTAAAACTAACCCTAATGCAATCAATAAACAACTAAACCTAATCCACCGATGAACAACTAACTCAGCAAAGCAAACAAAGTTAGTATACCACAATAAACATACATTTGAGGCCTAGAATCATTTCACACATACTTTTCGCAAATGACATCAACCAACCAATCAAAGCATACTATCCAAAAGATAAACAACAAATGCAACCAAATCTAACTGGATAAAATGAAAGAGGGGAAGGAAGAGCACCTTGGGGAAGCATCCAAAACCTCGATCTGGCCTCCCTAGAACTGCAGTTAGGGTTTAGGGTTCGTGGGAAGAGAGGGGTAGACAAAGAACGCACCAAGGTAAGGAGAGAATGGAGGAGGGAGGAAGAAGGGGGCCGCAGCGTGACCTTATGTGGCTAGACCTCGGCATCGAGTCGGGACACGCCGAGGTCTGTGGCTTGGCGTTAACTGAGTCCACGTTGAGCTATACGGGGCCCGCGGCCTCCATGGCATATGCGACCGAAGTCATCGCTGACATGGCAAGACCTCGGCGTCATCTGACACCGCGCCAAGAGCCTGACCACAGTGTCATACCCTTATGCGCCGAGATGGTGGTCTATTTTCATAAAATATTTTGCCAAGGGGCTATTTGTAAAAAATGTTTTAAAAAAGAACCAAAATACAAAAATTTCACAACCGTTCATGCCTAATCAGATGCTGAATATTAATGCTGCGTTGTGGGCCTAGTGAGGGCCCCAGAGTGTGGACAAGACTAGACCTGTACAATTTTTAGTTCATTCCCAAAAAAAAAATGTTATACATGCTAATACTACTACTATGCACATTTAGATGTTAAATGTGTCTATTTTAGTGGAGCTTGTTACTTTTTAAAGGCGGAATACTTATTTATTTGGTCCTTTAACTATTGTAAAAAAAGGCTCAGTTTGATCTCTAAATTTTTGAAATGACCATTTCAGTCCTCAAGTTTTTCTTTTTCTTTTAGCTTAGTTTTTCATCCCGAACTATTAAAATGACCGATTTAGTCCTTAAACTTCGTATTTAACAAACAATTTCATCAATAAATTATCAAAGCGCATTTTAGTCCATAAACTTTTCTTTTTGTTGGCTCAACTTCGCCCGTTGTCCAACATGGAGCATTGTCTTGTCATGCTCATCAGCTAGCACACTTTCAGCATGTATATCCATATTTTAAAACAACTATGGACAAAAATATTATTTTTTATCCTCGTTATTAGTTGAGCCTAAAGCTAGAAGTTGCTAAGGAAAAATTTTAGATATCGGGGGTGTTCGGCTGAAGGAATTTTAGAGGAATTTGGATGGTTTGGAGGAATGCTGGAGGAATTTGTGAGAAAAAAAATACTGTTCCAGATGAAAAAAGAAGCGGATTAAGCTGGGTTTAAGGGCACGCGAACGGGGCCATCGTTTTAATATAATGAAATTTAGTGCCCTCTAGATTCTCCTATGCACTCACGTGTGTAAGATCCGCCATACCGTTAAAATAAAGTTGTTTTGAGTTTTTCAACCGTAAAACTAATGATTCTAGTGGTATATTTTTTTTTAAAAAAATTTTTTCTCAATCTGGACAATTATATAGTAATATTTTTTCTTATTTGGAGTAGTACGTACCTTATTGATTTAGAGTACTGCCTACTTGTTTTGAATATTATCTTTGTTCGATTATTATACCAGTAATTGTGAGTTTCGTAAAGAGCTGTAAGTGTCCACTAGCAAGCTACGCATTGCAGCTAGCATGCGGCATGCCATTGATAGAGAGCGAGGAAAATAGGCAAATAGAACTAGCCTCTTGAAGCTCACTAAAATAGAGTAATTTTCCAAATGGCATATAATCCGACAATTGCTCACTAAAATATGAATCCCATTGGGTGCTAAAAATTGATGACGATTTTGTATAGTGCATCAGCAGGAGTCCGAACGACTTGGCCGAACTACAACAACTAGCGACTCGTTAACACCTTAGAGCTCCACACTCTAGTCTTGGGATTTGCAAAAAACATATGCCTCGTCTCCAACAATCATCATCGATCTAGAATTGTTATAATAGAAACCAGAAATACAAAAGAATAATAAGTTACCCAATTTTGATTTTATAGAATTCATAACACTAGATAAATACATAAGACATGATAGTAACATGGAAGTAACGAAAAAATGATTAAACACATACATCTTTAAAAAACACATACAAATTTGATATGTCAAATCCCTTGGCACGATGATTTGGGTATGCTACTACTAGGAGAACATCCAGTGGTTAATGTAGTAATATTGTATGACGATAAAACATAAAACTTCTCAATTAAACCTGTTAAAAATATCTATTGGTTTCATGATGCAACATATTCATGTATGAAACATAATTTCTGAAGCTAGAGACTAATATTATAACATCTACAGGTTCAGATAATAGTACACTGATATGATAGGGTAGAAACAAGAACAGTTAGCTGGTTAAACATATTACATACATATTAAATACCTTTCCTTTGAACCACACATCTTGTAAACTTATATCTATACCTAATATTAAAGAGATAAATTTCTCTCCCCATTTTTTGTCCAGCTCTCCCCTAACTAACTTGGTGAATGTGAAAATTGTCTCTATTCAACTGTCTATAGGCTACAACCCTCTTGTTATATACGGCACATGTCGGGCTTCTTGAGGTAAGCGAATCATAATCCAAATATATCCTGGGAGGCTGCGATCCCGATAATTTGAATAGGAATCTGGCCTAATAAATAGCTAGGAATAATAATCCAACTTTTATATTCTGAAGAAATAATAATTTAAAATAAGTATGCACGCCATATACGGAGACCGGAGTACTATATATATGAGGCCCTGAGCCCAGCCGTGTCCGTGTCTAATGTGGAGAGGACACGTGCTGCGGCCACGTGGTAATGTAGGTAAACATGAATCTACTACCCGGCCGTCTATCGTCTACAGCCTACACGCATGCATGCGTTTTTTACCTCAGCGCTGAGGCCAAAAGCGACGGTTTTCAAAAAACATAGAAGGTATAGGGATGTATTTTAAACATTTTCAAACAAGTATATTACCTAACAATGATGCATATAATCTCATAAAAAGCTAAAATTTATGCCATGTTTATTAGACTTGAGTATGGTCAGATTTTTCACCGATTGCAACGCACGGATATATTTGCTAGTCCAAGATAATTGACCTTTGATTTTTTAGTTAACTCCCCAGACACATTCCTCTAGTTCACAATTCTCAAATATGAAGACATTTGACCATCCTCACTCCAAGGTGAAATTTAAACTACTACAATATCATATCTCAGCAATTTTTGGCACTAAAAACAGTTTCTATTTGAATTCTTGAATTTTTTACTCTGAAATTTTGGCAATGACTTTTTTAATTTCCATTGAAAACAAGAGACTCTCTAATTGCATGTTTCTTTGTACTCCTGATCTGCAAGAAGAATTAGAATTTATTCCCTATATGGGTGAAGATTATGCATAACCATTACACCAAGTACTTAAAACTGACGACTAATGTCTCCGATGGTTGATCATATCTTCCCTGTGCAAGTCTTGGATGGAGGAGATGGTTGTTCTTGAGGATGGTTCTTGTCCACTATCAGCCTATTCGCTTTGGTACCTGTTTGAACATAAGCGATTGTCTCCTTAGCCAACGAACAATATTTTCTCACCAAATCAGGTTGATCATATCTTCCCTGTATGTCTTGGATCGAGGATAAGTCTAATGGTTCTTGTCCACTATGGTCTTTGGGATTTGCAAGAACCATGCGTCGTCTCCAACAATCATTATCAATCTAGAATCGTCCTGATTTATGATTTATGAGCAATTATGATTTTTACGGGGCAGATTTATGATTGTTACTAAGTCAAAATAGTACGTTAACAGTAATTTATACCACATACATGATTTGTAACCAAAAGTCTGGATAGGAAATCCGAAAAAAATACGATAAAATCGCCATATATGTAGTAAAAGTAGTCATAAACATAGTCATCCCCAACCGACTTAGTTTGACTTGATTTAATAATTAATTAATTAATCATAAATCGCTATATTTCCTCTCTAAATCCTCTCTCGTTATTCCTCTTCCCCGTCCAAAACCCCAACCCCAAGAAAGAAACCCCTCCCCCGCCGCCGCCATGGACGACGCGATCCCCGTCTCCACGCGCCTCCGCCGCACGACGCCCTACCACGACGCCTACACGGTCCGCGTCTACAACGAGCGGCTCGCCGCACTGGCGACGGCGCGGCTCGCCGACGCGCGGCGCTGGGTCGCCACCACGCGCTGGCTTCACGGGAGCCTCCTCTACCGGGGCCGCCTCATCGTCGGCCTCGGCGTGCAGTGGACCCCGACCCGCGCCCCGCTCCGCGGCGACACCCCCGTCCCCGCCACGCTCCAGCTCTGCGTCGGCCACCGCTGCCTCGTGTTCCACCTCGCCCGCGCCGGCCCCGTCCCGGAGGCGCTGCGCCGGTTCCTCGCCGACCCCAGGGTCACCTTCGTCGGCTCGGGCTCCGCGCACGACGGCCGCATGCTGTGGGAGCACTACGGCCTCGACGTGGCGCGCGGGCAGGATCTCCGCGCCGTCGCCGGCATGGGGAACGCCTCCGTCGAGCAGATGGCGGACCGGTTCCTCGGGTACCCCGGGATCTGCAAGCCCAGGGACGTCGCCATGAGCGCCTGGCACGCGCCGCGCCTCTCGCTCGACCAGGTCCAGTACGCCTCCGTCGACGCCTACCTAGCCTTCCGCCTCGGCTTCGTCCTCCTCTGCCCCGGCGGCGCCGCGCCTCCACCACCTCCCGCCCCCGCCCGGGCCCAGCAGCGCGCTCCCGTCCAACGCGTCCCCGCCGTCGTCAACCCTGCGACTCGTGCTCCCGTGGTCGTCCACGCTGCGCCTCCCGTCCAGCGCGCTCCCGCCGTCGTCCGCCAGGCACCTGCTGCCGTGGTCGTCCAGCCGGCGCCTCTGGTCGTCGTCCGTGCGGTGCCTGCAGAGTTCTTTGGAGTGCCAGTGCCAGCAATATTGGGTGGCGACGCGGCCATCACCGGCGGCAAGGTCATGGGCACCCACGCCGGCCTGACTGATGATTCTGACACGGAGAGCGAGGTGGACTCCTACGACGACGTGTACCGCGCTGCTACCCGTGGTCTGCCCGTCCGAGCTTATGCTTCAGATTCCGACTACAGCCTCGACTCCTCGGATGGGTTCGAGGACGTCAGGTTCGGAGCCTTCACCGATGAGGAAGATGAGGACGATGGCAGCTACGCCGGGACTGGATCTCTGGCTGCTGACAACATAGACGGCAATGGGGATGACGATGAGGAGGATGAGGAAGGCTGCGATGAAGACGATCAAGATGATGATGATGAGGAAGCCTGCAATGAAGGCGATCAAGCTGATGAGGAAGGCTGCAACGAGGACGATCTGGAGGATGAGAGGCTACGCTGATGAGGAAGGCTACAATGAGGATGATCAGGAGGGCTACAACCACACTTCTGGGCCTGGAATGGATGGATCAGCAGAGTTTGTCAGCAACGAGGTGGTGATCGATGGCTGCGAGGACGATGCACTCGCACAAGATGATTGGTATGATCAGGAGGTCGACTATGGGTTTGATCAGGACGACGAACAGGAGTTCGAAGAGTTCTACCTACTGTGACCGCCTCGCCTCGCCGATGCTGATGATCAAGAACCACTGGCGTCGGCCAAGTTCGATCAATCCATAGTTGCTACGTTTCTACAAATACGCTTTCTTTTCTGTTCTTTTTATGACACGCACGTGATTTGGATTTGAAGACTGTTTTAGGTGTTATTAGTTGCTGCTATGTTTCCACGCTTATATATATTATTATTAGTATATTTAGTATTACTGCTATCAGTCTGTTCTGAATTTCAGAGATAAACACACGTAGGATACCAGAAGGAATTGGGGCCTATTCTGTGAACTTGTGGTGAACTTTGTGATGATGAATCTGTTTGGGCCTATGCTGTGAACTTGTGATGAACTTTGCGCTGATGAAATCTGTTTGGCTGATGCTTCAGTTCATCAATGTCCAGAGTTCAGTACTTCAAGTTAGGATTGCTGTTCTACCCATATATATATCTGGATTCCATGTTTTAGATTCAGGATGACCGGTTTGTTTATTTCCTATGCATGGTTCTATATATGATCATCATAGATAAAGTCACACATACTTTGATCAATGCCATTGACGTTGATTTCATTCATCAACTATTCATCATTTCCACATGTGAGATCATCTTCAAGTTCTATTTATTTATTGACTCTTAAAAACAAACTAAAGTACATCTTAAGCAAACTATATACACACTCTTTTTATCTGGTTTCTATTATTTTTTTTAGATCATACCATAGTAATATATATATATATATATATATATATATATATATATATATATATATATATATATATATATATATATATATATATATATATATATATATATATATATGGCGACAAGGCATTGTCCTGCTTCTTGCCACTCGGATAAGAGTGTTTGGGATCTCTGCTGGTTCTCCTCGATGGTAAGCGAGAGCATAGTCATAACCAGTAGATGGTCTATAGAATAAGTTATTCCCTAGTATAGACCTCCTCCACTTACAATAATTTTATATACTAATTTACCATAAAGTGAATACATATTTACGATAGTTGTGTTACTATAACACATGAGGATATTTACCATAACGTTATAGTAAATCACTTAGTAAGAAGTTAGGTTGCAGTGAGATTGATTTGACATAAATTTGCTAGCATAGTAATTATCATAACTCAAAGTGGCCACAAAATAAGTTATTCTATGGCATAAATAAACATGATAATATATATTATCTTGTGATTCTATATATATATAATCTACAAAGATAAATTTTATTTTATTTTCTTGGTTTTACATTTTTTAACTAATACAAATTTGAAAATTAAATAAACTATATGAATTAATAAAATACTAGAAAGAAAACTTACCTTAGGTAAATGGGGGCTCCTCCCTAAGCTAGGTGTTAAAAAAGAAAAAAACTTTATGGTCCTTCAAAAAGGTACTTAGGGTGGTTAATGTGGAGATGGCCAAACAAGTAGTTCCAGTTGTCATTCTCCTGTTGTTCCATACACATGTTGTTTGATTGTATGGATGGCGATAATATATGTATTGCATTGTCCTTTCATGCATTTATCTTCTTGTCACCACATAATGTTGGTGAAGTGTTCGGATCTCATTCATTGGCTCTCTCCTCGATGGTGGTGAGCTTGGTGTCTAAAATAATTGAAACAGGAGACATACTCCATCTGGTGCTTGGTGATAACTAGTGAGATGGTCATGGTAGCCACCATGGCGAGAGAAATTGTGGACATAAATGTACAAAACTTCTCTAGTGGCCACTTTTTTTGTTTGAGACCTCCTTGTAATGTCATTTTGGATGCAAAATGCTTAAAAAAATTTATAAATTTATAGCGACTATTTTTTTTAAAAATGGAAGACACAAAGGTAGTAGTCAAAATTGTCGCTTGCCATTTGCCCGCACTTGGGCCCTCACTGTTGCCGATGAACTCTCTCATAGAATGATGCAGATAGAAGACAGCTCTCTTCGTTGTCAACAAGATGCTCGAGGTTGGTGCATACAGTAGGGAAGATCCCGGATGGTCCCGACGAAGCCTGCATGCTAAGGAAGGTGAAGCACCTAGGAAGGTCCTACTTGATCAAATTTGATCTGTGTTTTCTTCCAGCCAAACTGAACACACAGGTAGCAGTGTTGTAGGCCTTACGCTTCCATATCTTTATTCGGAATGGGGCCCCTCGATCTCCCTACAGTACCGTATCTGGCAAACAAGTTGCGAGTGAGATTGATTTGACATAAGAATTTGCTCTAAACTTGAAACTCGTGAGTAACATATGCTTGAAATAAGTTTAGGTAATTGACGGATATGATATGAGAAGGTCTGAGCTGCTATTTATCTTGTTCCAAGTGATACTAAATTCTAGAGATTTTTTTTTGAAAAGCATAAAAAAACATGACGAGATCCTGTATGACAAAGCTTGAATTCCTACCAGAGTCAAACATGTTTATCTAGGCTAGGAAAACTTCCACTTATATGCTACTTATTTTGCATTAAGTTTAGTCAAACTTTGTTGATGCCTTATGAGAGCTTTGTCATACTCTTAAAAATCAATATCACGTATATACCACCCACATATGCACTACTCCGACACTAGGGGTAGGCGCAAAAACATGTATTCCATCTAGATCCACTCAAAAATATTTTACTCCTACATTGGGAGAAAACACCAAAATTATGCTTAATAGGTTTCCACCAAATATATACTCCAAGTTTTTATTGCTATCTCTCAAAAGTTTGCTGCAGAAAAGAGCCATGGGCTATGCAAAAGTTATTCATAAAAAAGAAGAAGAAAAAAGCATTGAAAAAAATGGACAAGTGTCTGAAGTATTAAAGCAATGGTTACTTAGATGCCCGCCTGAAAAAATGAGATGAATAAGATAGCCCATGTTTTCTTGCAATTGTTTCCAAGTTGAAAATAAGAGATATGTTTTCAAGGAGTATATTAGAATCAAGCTAGCCACCATATATATCCACCATATTCTATACACATGCACATCTTGATTTGATTGTATGACTTAACTCTCTTTGAATTCGATGTTTGACTTTACAATATATGTATTGCAAGTATGCTCTCTTTCATGCATTTACCCTTCCTATGAGCTCCACATAAGCTTTAGTTATAAGAGAAGAAAAGACATAACATCATTCATTGCCTTGGTGAGGATCCACAAATACCAGATATATGAGAGACTTGAGAGTGTCATATAAAGGAATCTCCAAGTTTTTATTTTTGAAAACTTGCAAAAACTCTAAAATAATTGTTGAACAACGAACCTGAGACATAGTGCTTGACTTGAGAGTACGAAGACATGGTGTAGGTCATCATAGGTTGATCGTTGGAAATTGATCGATATGTTTCAGCTCTCTATGTTTCCATGATACACGTCGTAGAGTACCGAAATTGTGGTCCATCACCCTAAATGTACAAAACTTATCCGTTTGGAGCTCAAATCGAAAGCGTGGTTTTTTTGCTTGACACAAATGCCATCTGTTATCCAATGTAGAGCGAATTTAAAAATTTATAGCGACTATTATTTTTAAAAATAAAATAAAGACACAAAAGTCGACAGGAAGTAACCCTTGGGCGCCGAAGTAGCGCTGCCCGCGAACGGCTCTTGCCCGCACTAGCATGGATCGATCACTGCTCAGACACTAGTGCCAGAGCATGAAGACATGGTGTAGGTCATCATAGGTTGATCATTGGGAATTCATCGATAGGTTTCAGCTCTCTTCGTTGTCAAGACAACGACTAGGTGGATTCGGAGTTGCCATGAGTGGGAAAACTCATCGCGCAAGCACCGGTGGAGTAGAGGTCATGAAAGCAAGGAGAGCCCACGAGTGATGGGAGAGGCGATGCACCGACGAAGGAGCGGTGTACACATTAGAGTGTCGGAAGAAGTGAAGAATTGAGTGTGAGAGGGTCTGCATCTGTACTGTATATCTTAGACTTTGATCTGTTTTTTCTTCCAACCAAGCTGAACACACATGGTAGCAGTGTTGTAGCACACAGTTGTGCGCGCACTTCCATATCTTTATCAGGCTATCAGCTGCCCCCTACACTGATGCCTCTCGTCCTACAGACTTTGTATCTGGCAAACAACTATATGTTGTGGTTTAGGCCCTTGGATCCATATAGCTAATTATTAGTTGAATACTCAACTAACAACTATTCCACTAGTTGAATATCCTAACTAGCTACTAGCAGCTAATATTAGCTATGAACTATTAGCCAGCTAGGTATTATTGGCTAATGGATCCAAACAGGGCCTTAACCTGGATCGTGATGAGGCTTGTACTCGATGGTGAACTATTAGCTGCTGCTTACAGAGGTTCCCAGAGAACCTTTCGATCGTTCACAATGCATGTGGTAGGTTTTTGTTCATATTACTTCACTTCTTTTATTGTTGTGGTTGACAATGTATCATTACCAGATTTCTTATTGTTGCTAGAATCATATTGTTTGCTTATTCTAAAATATATTTCATTGTGGGTTTTGAAAGTAACACTGGTAGGATAGTATCCTAACTCAATGCTAATTCCTTTTTAATTTGACCCAATTATTTTTTTGGGTATCCTAAGTCCATGCTAATTCCTTTTAGTTTGAACCAATTATTTTTTTGGCAAAACTTTCCTCTTAATTTTTGTGTGTTGTCCTATCTATGGACTATATATTCATCTTGTAGATGTACTCAGTTATGGATACTTTTTTTTTTCAAATGTGCCTTATGAACATTATCCAGGAGATGGATGTGAGCAACATGGTGAAAATATGTTTAGATAAATCTGAGGATGAATTAATCTTGTTTGGGG